GTGTCTCAGTCTCACTGGTGAATTTGGAAGCCAAACAAATTAGAAAACAATAATAATAATAATTTTATATTATTCTTCTTAAAAAATAAAAAAGCCATTTGAAATTAGAACCAACCACTGCATTTTAATCACGATACAAACAAAGATACAAATATGAAACCGAAACAGACCGGCTGAATGAGAACGCAGATTCAGTCTCTGACAGCAGGTGGCGCTTACGAATCAGCAGCGATAAGAGAGGAAACAATGCCATCCAGTCAGGTCCCTTCAGAAATACATTCATATAAACCCCAACCCCAATATTTATATTTTTCTTCCCAACAGTGAGCTTGCTGTACCTGTACAGTATTTTCTCTGTGCGCGTCTGTTAATTTGAGGCCATGCTTGCAAGAGATAAACCCTTGAGCTTTTATTTTGGCGGAAAACTCCAGCTTCTGTGAAAACAGGTTTTCAAACATTACTAATTTAATTTAATACTGTAAACATTTGCCCATTAAAATGTAGAAAATTATGCAAATGTGAAAATAAAGCATAACTGGTGGCCATTGCGTTACCAAACGCGTGCCAAACTCACCGCACATTCAGTAACGGAGTTCACTGCAGTCAGTGTGAACAGAGCCGCTCGGAGACGCTGAAAACACCGGATCACGAGCCGATCGCGTGTGCAAAGTGTGCGCTTCACTTCGAAACAAGCAGCACAAACAGACTTGATAAGTCATATTACGCTTTCGGTTTTAATTCGTTTGACGGATACTTGCCAAAGCAATAGCGTGAAACAGCATTAAAGAACTTTTATGTTATATGAGAAGAATAAATATATCTTCGGTTTATTATGAAACTGTGGCAGGACAGATTAGACCGTGGCGGGCCACCTAGTTAATGAATGGGAAACACTGCTATCCCTTTGATTAAGACTAAAGAGAACAGCTTGTAATTACTGTGACAAACACACACAGAGCCTCAGATCTGCAGGTCGCTGGCTGCTCGTCTGTTGCTGCTCGCCAGTGAAGTTCGTTGCCGACTGGGTGAGAAGGAGGGAGTTTCTACAGAACCGTGTTCCCGAGAGCCAGAGCTGGGCTCAGAGTCCGGTGTGTGTGTCCCGCCGGCTCTCCTCAGGTCAGCCCTGCCGCTGTCTCCGCTGTCCGAGCCGTTCCCTTCCACCACTGTGCTGCAGTTCCAGGCCGGACTGGCTCGCCGCTGCTTGCACGGGTCCGTTATCAGGAGGCTGCTGAAGCCTGCGCTCTCCGACTCCAATGGGAACCGCGTGTGCGCGACAGGGGATCGAGTCTCGCTGCAAGGGTTGTTGGAATTGCTGTTGCGCTCCAGCAGACCGTGAATGACATCCTTGTTCTCCCGCTGCACGTCCGACACACCCTGGATGGGTACAAACGCAGACGAGGGGTTAATGAGCACGGGGTTCGTGGGTCCGTTGCCCTGTTTCTCCAGGAGCGGCGCGAATCCACTGGGCACCGTCGGGATGGTGGCTTTGCACCCCTGATGCACCACGGAGTTCTTCTTGGCACCGTAATAATCACCCAGGTCGTCTTTCAGGTGAGGATAGTAGTCCAGAAGCCCCTTCTTTAGTTTCTTGTAGGCCAGGTGCAGGATCTCCAGCAGGCTGAGGAACAGGGACGTGGCGGCGATGCCCTGCATGAACACCATGAAGACGCTCTTCTCGGTGGGTCGCGAGATGAAGCAGTCCACCATGTTGGGACACGGCTCCCGCTCGCACTTGTACAGATGCTCCAGGTGGAGTCCGTAGAGCAGGTACTGGCCTGTCATGAAGCCCACCTCCACCACGGAGCGGGTCACGATGTGCGGCAGGTATGTGCGCAGCAGCGGGCCCCGGAGCGGAGCCTTGTTGAGCTTCCCCTGCTCCAGCTGCCGCAGTTCCCGCTCCACCCGCCGCCGAGCCTCCGCCAGCTCTGCCTCCATCGTCTCAAGCTCGCGCCGGAGAGCCACACGCTTGCAGTGACGCTCCTTCTCC